TAAACTTATGGGCTGTCACGTGATGAACGAACGACTCGGAAAAACCCGAAGACTCGAACCAGGTGAACTACTTGACAAATTCCAGTACAGAACCTATAGGATGTTGCGCATTCCCCACTGAACGATTCACTCCCCGAGACGACTCGTTCTTCCCGAGTCACATTAAAGATTCGTTCAAAACGAACGAATCGTTCAAGAACGACCCAACACTACCGCTCACTAGTGATGGGAAGTTCGGTTCTTTTCTGCGAACCGGTTCTTTCGGACAGTTCGATTCAATAAACCGGTTGAAAAAACCGGTTCACCGGTTCTTTTACGCTCGACGTAATGACGTCATTGGCGATGACGTAATGGCGTCAAGTCTATCGCGGGCTTAACACATTCAAATATAAAGTCAGTAATCATAACATCAGTCAATTAAAACATCATTATAATCTGATACGTTTCTTACAATTTGGATTTTTGTATCTAAAGCATCAACACATATACAGGCAGTGATCTGCAAACTAGGATGTTTTACAGTTATGACGTCAATAAATTAGTCTTCATCAGCGCAGAAACTATGCTCCACTTACTATGTATAATCCATTACGGTTTATTTGTAATTAAGTAAATTTACGTTTCGCCGGATTGGCCCATTATCCTCGTTTCACCCGCGCTCACGATGGCATCAGTTGTCCGGTTCAGAGTTCAGACACCTGTGGCGGGCGGTGCTGCTGTGCTGTGACAGTCATTACTGTTCGGTTCGGTAGTTCAGATCACACACGCTGTCGCTGAATCACGCATGCGCAGTATCATCAGCTCATCGGTTCTCAAATCGGACGTGTCCGAAAGAAACGGTTCTCGGTTCAGTGTACTGGTGATCCGAAAACCGATGCAACCGATTCTTGACTCGAGAACGAGAACCGTTCTAACCGGCACGCTGCACGCACTCAGTATCAGCTGCTCTACTCGTGTTCATGTTCTATTTACTACAAACTCAATTTGTGAATGTGTCATCGTTAACTATAATTACAGTACAGGTATTTCATAAATCATCCCTTATTCCTATATAACGTAGTCTTAATTATTGTCCAACTTCCCTGACAAACCCCTTTGGCCTATAACCTAACAGAATCTTCAACTGAACAAAGTACACAGATTAGATACATTCATCTTTTTTAAAAAAGTAAAATAAAATATATTTATATTATCACACTTTCTGATGTTTAACAAAATACTTGGATAACATGCTTTTCGTCCTCTTGAAAAATTACACGCATGCGCAGTATCATCAGCTCATCGGTTCTCAAATCGGACGTGTCCGAAAGAAACGGTTTTCGGTTCAGTGTACTGGTGATCCGAAAACCGATGCAACCGGTT